GACTATTACTTTGCAAATAATGAGCAAGGCTTTCCTTGCATCCTGAGGACTTCCCTGATATATGTAGAATCCTACCTTGACACAAAGTTAGGACTCAGATGATGGGTTGGGGAATGAAAAGGTTACCCATGATGGCACAAATACCTATACTTCTCATTGGGTCTCGTCCATGGCCCATGGCTCATCTGACTGTATTGATAATTTTGTGTGTCCTACAAATGATGGTATAAATATCCAAATGGCCTTGGCAGAAAACACGTTTCTCTTTCCCACCACAGAATATGGTTGGAAACTTAAAGACAATCTTTCAGCTAAAGCTTTGAATAAGCTTCAGTCTCATCTATAGAATGTCTGCAAAGGGCTTGTACAACCTGTTCCTGAACACATTCTAGTGTAGATCACTCTCTACTTTTTGGGGAACTTTTTTTTTTTTTTTTTTACCATTTGCATCGTCCTGATTGAACAGTGTCCTCTGTAATATTAGACTGGATTTTTTCCCCTGTAACTTGGCCTCACTGGTACTGGTTCTTTCTCTTGGAGCTCAAAGAACTAGTCTAACTCTTTATTCACATGACAGCTCTTTGAGCCAAATATTTGCATGCATCCACTAGATACTTCAGATTGTCTCCCTGACTAAATCCATTTCTTTCAACAATTTCCCATGTGATTTGGTCCTGGATTTTCTTGAATTCTGATTGTTCCTTGAGATGGGATGCTCCAGGTATAAGATGAATCAACTGCTTCCTTATTTTAGAGGCTAAATTCAACAAAGTAGTTTAAGGTTGTATTGCTATTTTGGAAATGAAAATACATGAATAATCCATGCTGGATTTTTTTTGCTAAAACTTTTTTTTTTCCATGTACAACTTGTTAATCATATCTTCCCAATCCAGAACTTGCTCAGGTTGTTTTTGGACCCAGGTACGTAATCCAACATTTACTCTTTTTGTAAGATTTGGCTTATTCTTTGGGCTCCTTTTAGATCCCAGTTCTGCCTAACCCTTGCATTGGTAATCTGTTCCAGCTTCATGACATCCATCTAACTGATGGCCCTAGTGTTCTCTAGTTTTGAATGAAGTTAGTGTTAAGAACACTGAATAGGGCAAGACCAAAGATAAAGCTCTCTGGTACATCAATAAGAAACGAATTCCAGGATACCATGGTTCATTTACCAGTACCACTGATTTTTTGGGGGGGAGGGTCCGGTCGTGGGACCTGAACTCTGGGCCTGGGTGCTGTCCCTCAGCTCTTCAGCTCAAGGCTAGCACTCTACCACTTGGGCCATAGCACCACTTCCGGCTTTTTTCTTTTTGCTTATGTGGTGCTGAGGAATCGAACCCAGGGCCTCATGCATGCAAAGCAAGCACTCTATCACTGAGCCACCTTTCCAGCCCCAGTACCACTGATTTTTAAAGTTTAAGTCACCTAATTACATTATCCTTCTGGTCATTTTTCTCTCTCTTATCCCAAGGACATAATGTTGTAAAAAAATCTTCCTGAGCCCTAGGTATACTTTTACCTATTGTATTTTATTGATTTGTCAATTTAATAACCTTATCATAGAAGAAAATTAAGTTATTTTGATATGACTTGTGTTTAATATACCCACATTGAATTTTACTGATAATTTCTCTTTTCTGTCCTGCACAATTACCAATAATCCTAAAATTACATTCAAGAATCCAAGACAAATATCTTACTGGTTTGTCTAGTTTGTGAAATGTACTTCATCACTCTCCTCCTTTTTCTTTTTTTCTTTTTTTTTGGTGGTATAGGGTCTCCCACTTGCTAGACAACACTCTTCCATTTGAGTTATGCCCCAGTCCTTTTTGCTTTTGATTTGTTTTCAGATATAGTTTTGCACTTTTCCTTGGGCTGACCTTAGACATTGGTCCTCTTACCTCTACCTCTCAAGTAGCTGAGATTACAGGCATGAACCATCATGCCAACTTCTTCCTTTTCTTCTTCTTTTTTTTTTTTTTTTGGTGGGCCGTGGGGCTTGAACTCTGGGCCTGGGCGCTGTCCCTCAGCTCTTCAGCTCAAGGCGAGCGCTCTACCACTTGAGCTACAGCGCCACTTCCGGTTTTCTGGTGGTTTATTGGAGATAGGAGTCTCACGGTCTCTCCTGCCCGGGCTGGCTTTGAACCACGATCCTCAGATCTCAGCCTCCTGAGTAGCCAGGATTACAGGCGTGAGCCACCAGCGCCCGGCTTCTTCCTTTTATTTTTTCTTGATAACTAAAAATTGTGTTCACTTGTCTCCAATTCTGCAGCAATTCTTCATCTCCCTAAACTCTCATACTGAGCATTTATTTATTTTTGTGCTTGTTCTGGGGCTTGAACTCAAGGCTTGAGTATAGTCCCTGAGATATTTTGCTCAAGTATAGTTTCCTACCACTTGAGCCACAGCTCCATTTCTGGATTTTTTGGGTTACTAATTGGAGATAAGAGTATCACAGATTTTCCTGCCCAGGCTGGCTTTGAAGAGTGATTCTCAGATCTTGGCCTCTTGAGTAGCTAGAATTACAGGAATGAGCCAGTACCTGGTTCATATAGAGGTTTTATATTCTCAAGAATTGGAGGATCGCCGGGCGCCAGTGGCTCATGCCTGTAATCTTAGCTACTCAGGAGGCTGAGATCTGAGGATCATGGTTCAAAGCCAGCCCGGGCAGGAAAGTCTATGAGACTCTTATCTCCAATAAACCACTAGAAAACCGGAAGTGGTGCTGTAGCTCAAGCAGTAGAGTGCTCACCTTGAGCTGAAGAGTGGAAGGACAGCTCCCAGGCCCAGAGTTCAAGCCCCATGATCAACAACAACAAAAAGAATTGGAGGATCAAATGAATATGCTTATGTGTGAATTCTAAAATGTTATATAGTTGGGTGCCTGTGGCTCATGCCTATACTCTTATCTACTCAGGAGGCAAAGCACTGAGAATCACAGTTGGAAGCCTACCTTGTCAGACAAGTCCAATTACCAAGCAAAAATCCAGAACTAGAGTGTGACGCAACTGACAGAGTATTAGCCATGAGTGAAAAAGCACAAGAGCATGAAGCTCTGAGTTCAAGCCTCAGTACTGGCACAAAAATAAATAAGATGGTATATATGCACATATATTGTGGTGGTTGTTATTCTCTTTAGTAGACAATAAGGTTTTATTTGGGCTTTAAATGGGAATTCTAAAAACTTCAGAGTTGTAGAGCTTCTTTTTGGTACAAAAAAGCCAAGAACATAGGGTAGTAAGTAGCACTGAAGTTTGAAGTTTAAGTTGAAGAATAATGATTCCAAATGGCATGGCCACTAGGTTGGCAAAATGGGCATCCTAGTTGCCTCTGAATGTTCTTGAAATTCTTGGCCTTAGTGATCTTCAATTTGATGCCTATCTGGGTGGGATTATATGGGTAGGCCCTACATGATTTAGAATTTTCCAGGGCAATAAGGGAAATAGTGGAGAAGTATGAAGAATAAAGATGAAACCACAATGGCTCAGATTTTTAGAATGGAGGTGATGATTGGCTTTTCTTATGTCCAAAGGAGCCAAACTCCCTAGAGTTTATGTAGCACCACAGCAGATCCAAAGTATATACATGCTCAGGTGATAAAAATTTCTCTGCTGGAAAAGTACAAAGCTACTTCTTGGGCAGGGGTGTCTGATACCTTGTTTTACATGAGCCTTCTCCCATTTCAGTGCCTTGTCCACTTTCTACTATTGGAACAAATAGAACAAATTGCTCAAGTCCTATTTTTGATCTTCCAGAATGTCATCCTAGAGCTTAATCCAGACCCAATTTCCCCAGGTGATGCAAATAGATGATTAAAAGTGAAATGAGTTGAGTACTTGTAAAGCATCTTGGAAGGCAGAAGAATGGGCAGTTTTTGTTTCTTTGGGTATTTGAATATCTTAGTATCACCAATAGGTATTAATTTGGGATTAGGGGAGAATAATTAAAGATATGTGTCTGGAAAGATGTGTATCTTAGGAGCAATTGGCCTGTAGGGATTTCTTGCCTTATTATAGATACTTATGAGAGTTAGGAGGAACTGTATTTCAGAATTAGATATTATCACTGGTGAATGGAGGTTAGTAGACCCCTTGTTAGTCTCATCACTACTTTTAAGGAATTGTGAATATATGACTTTCTTCACTTTCTCTTCTAAAACTTACAAATATTACACTTTATTGAAACTATATGCTTACTTAACATGTATCTTCTTCATTAGGTTGTGATTTCTTGGCAAGGATGGTATATTGTCCAACTTTGCATTACTAGCACATTGCATAGTGACTGGCATATAATAAGTGCTCAAGGAATATTTGCTAATAAATAAGTGCTACCAAATCAAATGTTAGTTCCTCTTTCCCATGGGGTGGTAAGTCAATTGATGGGTTCTTTCCTCCCTCTCTCCCCTTTTCATTCCTTTTTAAAAAATTGTATTTTAGGGGCTGGGAAGGTGGCTCAGTGGTAGCGTGCTTGCCTTGCATGCATGAGGCCCTTGGGTTTGATTCCTCAGCACCACATAAGCAGAAAAAGCTGGAAGTGGAGCTGTGGCACAAGCGGTAGAGTGCTAGCCTTGAGCTGAAAAGCTGAGGAAGCAGAAAAAGCTGGAAGTGGAGCTGTGGCATAAGCGGTAGAGTGCTAGCCTTGAGCTGAAAAGCTGAGGGACAGCGCCCAGGCCCAGAGTTCAGTCCCCACAACCAACTAAATCAATCAATCAATCAATCAATTAATTTTATTTTATTGTAAAGGTGGTGTACAGAGGGGTTACAGTTATATAAGTAAGGTAATGAGTACATTTCTTGTCAAACAGTCCCCTTTTTCTTCTTTCTTCCCTTCCTCCCTCCTCTCTCTGATGCAGACTCACTATGTAGCCCAGGCTGACCTCAAACTCACAATCTTCTTGCCTCAGCCTCTCAACTTCTGGAAACTACAACTTGTACCCGCATGTCTGGCTAAGTGGCTGGATTTCTTTAACTTTCTTTGTGCTGTTTTGTTCCATCTAGATGACATCCGTTGCCAAGGTGTATTACAGTCAGACCACTCAAACAGAAAGTCGGCCCCTAGTGAGTCCAGCCATACGAAGGCGGAGAGTACTGACAAAAGATGGCCGCAGCAATGTGAGAATGGAGCATATTGCTGACAAGCGCTTCCTCTACCTCAAGGACCTATGGACTACCTTCATTGACATGCAGTGGCGCTACAAGCTTTTGCTGTTCTCTGCAACCTTTGCAGGCACCTGGTTCCTCTTTGGTGTGGTGTGGTATCTGGTAGCTGTGGCCCATGGGGACCTACTGGAGTTAGGCCCCCCTGCCAACCATACACCTTGTGTGGTACAGGTGCACACACTCACTGGAGCCTTCCTTTTCTCCCTGGAATCCCAGACCACCATTGGCTATGGCTTCCGCTACATCAGTGAGGAATGTCCCCTGGCCATCGTGCTGCTTATTGCCCAGCTGGTGCTCACCACCATCCTGGAAATCTTCATCACAGGTACCTTTCTGGCCAAGATTGCCCGGCCCAAGAAGCGGGCCGAGACCATACGTTTCAGCCAGCATGCAGTTGTAGCGTCCCACAACGGCAAACCCTGCCTTATGATCCGAGTTGCCAATATGCGTAAGAGCCTCCTCATTGGCTGCCAGGTGACAGGCAAACTGCTTCAGACTCATCAGACCAAGGAGGGTGAGAACATTCGACTCAACCAGGTCAATGTGACTTTCCAAGTAGACACTGCCTCTGACAGTCCCTTCCTCATTCTACCCCTTACCTTCTACCACGTGGTAGATGAGACCAGTCCCTTGAAAGATCTTCCCCTCCGAAGTGGTGAGGGTGACTTTGAGCTGGTGCTGATCTTAAGTGGGACAGTGGAGTCCACAAGTGCCACCTGCCAGGTGCGCACTTCCTACTTGCCAGAGGAGATCCTTTGGGGTTATGAGTTCACACCTGCTATCTCCCTGTCAGCTAGTGGCAAATACATAGCTGACTTCAGCCTTTTTGACCAAGTTGTGAAAGTAGCTCCCCCTAGTGGCCTCCGTGACAGCACTGTACGGTACGGAGACCCAGAAAAGCTCAAATTGGAGGAGTCATTAAGGGAACAAGCTGAAAAGGAGGGCAGTGCGCTTAGTGTGCGCATTAGCAATGTCTGATGGCTTAGCCCCAACCCCCTGGCCCTCTGACCTCTTTTCCTCTCTTTTGATGCCCTAGGGAAGGGATACTATCTGGGTTCACTGGAGTGTCCCAGAAGTACCCATCCTGTCCCTTCCTTAACTCAGTGGCCTGTTAGAAGTTCAGGCCAACTGAAATCCAAATTTTCTTCCCATTGTCCCCTTTCACCTTTTCCTGCTTCTACCCCAATGCACACAACTCCTTGAAGCCAGGATGGGGGAAGGAGCGGGAAGATTAGGCTGAAGGGGCTTGGAAGGCCTCAGCTATGCTTGGAGACTCATATCAGTAGGACCATGTGATTGGATGGACAGACTCCACCCACCTCCCATCATTACCAGAAAGTTAGCCAGTTTGAGGCTAAAGCTGCCTCTGTTTCCAGCTAGCAGGTTGATAGTCACATTTGATAGTCTTTGTGGTTTATTTCCTCAGAAATACAGGAATCTGTAATCAGTTTATTCTGGGGTCCTTTACCAATTGTTGAATGAAGCTAGGGTTTATCATGGCGTTTTTAATCTTTGCTGAAAACCATAACTTCGGCTCTTGATCACTACCATTTCCCTTTCTAGTTTGCAAGTAGACTTTCTCAGCATACCCAGTTTCTCATAGCCTGTTTCCATAAATTGGGGCTGACTTGAGACATTTAAGAATACAGCCATGCCAGGTCACTGGTGGTTCACCCTGTAATCCTAGCTACTTAGGAGGCTGAGATCTGAGGATCACAGTTCAAAGCTAGGAAAATCCATGAGACTCTTATCGCCAATTAAGACCAGAAAATCAGAAGTAGAACTGTGGCAGAAAGTGGAAGAGCACTAGCCCTGAGCAGAAAAAGCTCAGGGACAGTGCTCAGGGCCTGAGTTCAAGCCCCATGACTGACAAAAAAATATATATATATAAATAAATAAATATAAATATATATATATACACCCAGATCCACACTTGTATCCATCCTAAATTCTGAACTCTTCAGCTTTGGAACTATTGTCCAAAACTCTGAACATATTCTCAGCAGCCCTGGGAAGATTTGTTTTACTGTGACTTGTGAATGGAGGACCCTAGCCAATATGTTCTCTTGAATAAGTCCATTGCCCAGGCCCTATGAAAAGCTCTGAAAATGATACTCTAGATTATACTGTACCTGGCTTACCTTCTACCTTTCCTGCCCAGCCCAAATCCCTTTCTTTAACCTGAACCCTCTGAAGAAAGGGAGGGAAAACACATTTTCCCCTTCTTAACATTGATGCTCAACTAAAACTAGATTCAGAGGACACAGATTCTCCAGGAAAGTTAAACCAACTTCTCAAATTCCACACTGCTGTATAAAGCCTCTAGGAATTGGTGATCCGTTGTTAAGGTTTGGGCAGAAGCAGAATTCTGTGGCTGGTAACCACTATTTTGTTACACCTTCCAGTGCCTTTCTGAAAAGTGCCAGTTATTTTATGAGGAAATGTTAGGAGGGGAGGAAATTTTACCTCCTGATCTGTTATCCTTCAACCATTCCTAACACTTGATATAAAATGATGAAAATTGGTGTCATCTCTATTTTTCTGCCTGGAGCCAGGTGCAGGCAAGTTAAGAAGATATTTTAGAAGATCACACTCAGGCCAGTGGAGAATATGGTGGGGTTCTGGAAAAGATTTATAGCCAGCAGAACTTTCTCTTAAAGCCACAAATACCACAAATGGTTCCTGGTGTCATTTAGGTACAAACCCCACAAGTGGTTTGGCACAGAATCCTTGTATGAATCAAATGGCTATTTAATTAAGGTGAACATGACCAATTGTTACAAGCTATTCTCTTATACAGAATGTGTACATCTGTGTGGAGAGACTTCCACAGAAACTCATAAATTTTGAGGCTGGGCTTACTTCAACTGTGCAGCTCTCTTACATTGATCTCTCCTTGAACTCAACTATCTGTATCTTGAAAATGAAGACCCTTCAGTCTGCACTTACTGTAAAAACCCATTATTCTTTAGCTCTCATAAGAACATGAACAAAAAAAAAAAAACTTGAAAATCAGAAACAAAGAACAGAAGGCCAAGAGCCAGCTTATGTGCTCTCAAGTTTATTCAATATTGGACTAACCTGTTTTTGTTCACTGTGCAAAGACAAAATGTACTGCTCTGTATGTGTGTGTTTGTGTGTATGTATCCTCTTATGGACTGGTGATTTGTTCTCCATCTGGTTTCTTCTGTACATTGCTGCTTCCCCCCTGAAGGAATTCCTCTCTGAGTCCCTTGCTGTTGATTCTAAGCGCTAGATTCTCCTCCGATTTTTGGATAACAAGGGAGGGAGAACATTTTTAGTCTTAATCCTTTTTGAACCTCCTCTACAATCCCTGGCTCTATGCTGGGATTAAATCATACTTTCCTATTAATACAATCTGGGACCTTCTCCAATAAGCCCTTTGTCCCCCATGAACTACTTCCACCCCAAACACTAAATGACTCGAAACTACAGCCTATCTTCCTTGACTTGGAACCCTCTTTCAGGGCATAGGGTAAGCTTTAGAAGCAGTTGAGTCTGGAGAGAAATGGGCTCCTTGGCTATAGCAACCATCAATTTGGAATGTTAGGAGAGTAGTAGGCTCAGATATTAAGGGGGGAGATTTCAGAAGACAGGCAAATCAACTGCTAAGGAAGGATACCCAGGGTGTGAAGAAGGCCAAGAAGAAACCTTGTGAAATCAATGAAACCCTTGAGTCTTACCTGGGCTGGCAAACAACAGCCCAGGCTTGAGGAATTAGGAGTTGAATATATGAAAGGTTTATCTAAGGAGAAAAGAAACAGAGATAATATATATGGAAAGATATGTATATAGATAGATGTATATATGTCCAAATATACTGAATGTACAGAAGAGAAGTACAGGTATCTTGCCCTAGTTGTGGGGGAGGACATAAGATTTCTAGACTTTAAAACCAGAGTTCCTGGTTTCAACACAGAAGTGAGACTGCTGATGGATTTCAGGTTTGATGATGAGAATCAGAGGGATGGACATCCCTCTTCATAAATAAAGAGGTATCCTTGGAGGCTTGATAAACTTGTGGTATTAACAGGACCAGGAAGAGGGGAGCTAGGAGGAGATGGGGAAGGGAAATGCTTTAAATATGAAGATCTAGGAAAATCTACTACTTACACTGTATGCTCCCAGCCCTACCATCTTCCTGCCACTGTAGTAACTTTCAAATAAGTAAATAAACAAATAAAAGCTTTGTTTTCCTCTTTTGAAGTATTCTGTGTTTCCCCATTTTCCACCAGAGAGGAAGCAGCTCTAGCTCTGGCTTCCATAACCAAACCAAGAATCTCCAACACCTGACTGTTTGAGCTAATGGAAGCTTCAATGCTTGAACGAAAATAAAATGCCAGGACTTAAGAGCTGATGGGCTCAAGATATTCTTAAGACAGAGCCCTGGGCCTCCATATGCTATCTATGCCAAGTGTCTCTATCCTGACACTGTGTACGGGGAGCATGCTGTGGCTTTAATGTTCCTGTATAAGAGTGAGACATGGACCTGGGAATGGTGTCATTCCATGAGAAGTTTGAAATCCCTATAATGGGCTTCACTTCATCCCAGCTCCTACAATCCTATCAACTAACAAGATCCTGCAGGAATTCTGTGAGGTCAGCAGAGAAAGGAAATCAATCATACTACTGCTAGGAGACCGTGATGCTGCAACCTCCCAAAACTGCTGCCTTGGCTCTTTATCTCCACTAACTAATCTAGCTTATTTGTAAAATGACATATTACCTATGCTGTGAAGTTAGCTGGAACTCCAGGCTTAGTAATGGCCAACTATACCGAAACTGAAGTATCAAGGGATGGTATCCTTACTTATTGCTTATTAACAACTAAGCCAGGTCAAATTACATAGGAGAAAAAGTATGTGTGAGTTATTTTTTGGCTTACTTTCTTTTTGTTTATTCAGAACAAGCTACTAAATAAAATGGATGAATCTCTGGTCTTCACTCCATTTCTTCTAGAAATTGAATCCTATACTATTATCAAGATCTGAACTCAAGTTTACCTATAAATTAGGCTATGCTGGGAGAATGTTTTTTGTGTGGTACTGGGTTATGAAATCAGGACCTCATACTTGCTAGGCTGAAGCTCTACTGCTGAGCCATACCGCCAGCCCTGTTTCTTGCAGGTTATGTTTAATATAGGGTCTCAGTTCAAACAAGGGTTCATGCCTAAGCTGAAATGTGCTTACTTTATGCTTCCCATAGTTTCTGGGATAATGAGCCTACACCACCATGTCAGCTTCTCTTCTGTTTAAGTGGAGTCTCATTGACTTTCCTCCTGGGCCGGCCTGGAATCTTGACCATCCATTCTCAACAACCCAAGTTGTGCTAGAAGCACATGTTATGGACATCTGGCTGGAAGAAATTCTGATTGTGGAACCAGGCCTCTTCTGCTGAATTTTTCTCATGCTTTTCACTAATGGTATCACCAATTCCTTCCACTCCTTTCTTGCACATCAACTTCCTAACTTTTTAGGATACTTAGGAAATACTGTTCAAATTCAGTTCTTAAAGAATAAGATTTAACCCATGTTAAGCCTAGAAATCTAAATAACTAACTTGGCTTAATCCACAAACATCAAGTTGTTCTGGATCACAGACACTGTCCCTTTGGCCAGTGACCATGAGCCCATTTTTTTCCATCCATACTACCTGTAAGACTTGTTGACTTTTTCTTAATACTCTCAAGGCTAATCTAATTCCTTTAAATCATCAGGCACTTCTTCCCCCAAATTTAAACTAAATAGATTTATCTTCTATCCTTACTGTCTATCACTACCTGGGAAAGGCCTGGTTGTCAGTATTCAGCTCCAAATTCTCTGGCATGAAGCCAAATTATAGTAACTGATTCTTACTCCTCAATGATGGACAGAGGGAAGAAGAGGGAAAAATTAGGTAACATTATCATTAATAAATCAACAACAAACCATAAAACATAAATGTGTAAGTCATATGAAATATATAGTTCTTAAAAGTTTATATCCCCTAGCCAGGTACTGGTGGCTCACATCTGTAATCTTACCTACTCAGAAGTCTGGATCACCCAAGCAGGAAAGTCTGTGAGATACTAATCTCCAATAAATTATGGGGGGGGGGGGGGAAGAAAATAAAAGCTATTAGTAGATTTGTGGTTCAAGTGCTAGAATACTAGCCTTGAGCAAAAGAAGCTCAGACAGTGTCCCCAGTTCAAGCCTGAGGATGGACACAAACACCCCCCCCACACACACACTTGTAGCTCCTACAAACATGGGGAAAGGAAAAATAACAAGTAGCACATAACAAACATAACTAAAGCAACAAGTAGCATACGCTAATACCAGATGTCAAATTAGCATGTTCTAAAAAGCATGAGATCTTGCAAAAAAACATTTCACAGAGACAGACATTAAGCAAGGAGTGGTATCACTCTAAGTATTACTGTCTACATCACTCTCATCCGACTTCAGTGAATTTTCATTTTCTTTCTGATTGGGGATTTTATCAGCTCAGAGTTGGTGTCTCTGCCCTATCTACTCAGCCAATTACATAAGAACAGATTGAAGTTTTTTCATTCAATTACTGAAACAAATCCAGCCAGAAGATGTATTACTTAATACTCAAATGTATACTTCATATATTCTCTACTTTCTGACACTAAAGCTTACTTATCTATAATTCACAGAGAAAAAT